CTAAAGCCGCTCTCTCCGCCTACTCAGAACCAGGGACTAGAGCTGCTCCCCGCCCCACCCTGCTAGCCTACTTCCCAGGGCGCGCCCCAAAGGGTTCAGGTGCGTCCCACCCCTGACAGAGGTGGGGTAGAGGTGGGGGGAGGACACACTACACCTCCACCGCGCCACCTGGCGGCCCTCGGCACTGAACCCTTCAGCATCCGTTAGCCCATTTCTTAGTAGGGCACTCAAACCTGAATAGCAAGGGAAGAAGAGTCCAGGTTATGAAGCCTGCAGCACATAACCTTTCTGAGCCTCGGTTTCACGTGTGAGATGAAGGGATGGTCATAACCTCATAGGGTCGCCTAGGAGAATTTGTTTACTAAAAAGAGCATCTTAGGGCTGGAGATATGGCTCAGCGGTTAAGAGCACCGACTGCTCTTCCAGAGGTCCTGAGTTCAATTCCCGGCAACCACATGGTGGCTCACAACCATCCGTTATAAGATCTGGTGACCTCTTCTGGTGTGCAGATATACATGGAAGCAGAATGTTGTATACAAATAAACAAATAAGAATCTAAAAAAAAAAAAGAGCATCTTAGGAAGGGATATTCAAGAATGCGGATTTAGCCCTGGGGAGGGTAGTGAGACGCCCCCTCCAGGTCACAGGTGACACTTGACCCCTCCTTCACTGCCCTGACTCCCAATAGTCAGCCTCTACACAAAACTCTCCTGAGAGCTGCTCTAGAGATTAGGGTTTAGGGGTGTGGTAACTTCATTCTGGTCCCTGTTTTGCACTTCCTAGCCGTGGGATCATGGTATTTGAAGCTTTGCTTGGAATCCCTGACCAAGATGATGGCTATATAATTCCTTTGTGCTATCATATACAGGCTACCTTCGGAGAAAGGAAGAAACTAACTGTACAGCCTGAGATTTAAGTCCAAGGAACTTAGGATAGCAGCCAATACATCTAGAATCTTCCACCTGGCATCAAGGTCTGGTGTCTGGTCGTCTGCCATCTCTCTCTTCCTCCCACCCTTTCTGTCTAACTAGTCCAAACTCCACACTGTTGCCATCTTCACAGACTGAAGCCAGAAAGAAGTACAAACACTTCCCTTTGTTTTGGGGCAGGGGACAGGAGGTGTGAGATGACCCATGAGTTGGGTGAGAAGGCAGGGGGGTGTGTGACTCTGTTTTCCATTTGTTGTGTCTAAGGTGTGGTGTGGAACATCCTTGAAAGCAGTAATTGGCTGTTAGTTGCTTTGTAATCCCTGCACCTAGAATGACTCCTGGCAATATTTATGCACTGACTTCCGAGTGACCTAGCCTACCAGACTTTATTGAGTCTGTTTGCCCTGTTCTGGGCTGTACCAAGAGGCCCAGAAAAGGCTCCAAGTTTGATTGCAGCCCTGGTGCAGAGGGATTAGACTGCCTTTTGGTGCCTCATTCTCAGGCTTGCTGTTGTCTGGGGCAGTTGCAGTATTGACCAGGGGCTTTGGTTACAATGGCAGAAACCAATATAAGCAGGACAATAACTTTGTAGGGAGAATTTGTTGCATAGCATTCATAGGAGGCTGGAAATCTCGGTTTGGAAAATGGGCCTACTTGGTTAGTCATTTTGTTCTTTTCTCTCTCTCTCTCTCTCTCTCTCTCTCTCTCTCTCTCTCTCTCTCTCCCTCTCTCCAGAATCTCATTCTGTTGCCCAGGCTGGCCTAGAAGTGACTATATAGGGCTAGTTATGGTGGCTTATGCTGCAATCCCAACACAAACTTTTAATGCTGTAACACAAGGATATGCCAATTCCCTTGCTGGGACAATGGAGACTATTGCCTGATTAAAGATTTTAATGTAATGAGGGCCCAATGGCACATACCTGTAATTTTAGCTACTTGAGAAGCTAACCACAGGAGGATCACTTGGGCATTGGGCAACATATTGAAACTCTGTCTCAAAAATAAAATGATTTTTCTTCAGGGGTAGGAATTTAACCTAGAGCCTGATATAGGCCTGGCAAAGGCCCTACCCCTGAGCCATATTCCAAGATCAAAATGATTAATATAGCTAAGAAAATATTGATGTTAGTTAAAAAGGTCTGAGCAGCAGAGAAAGCCAGAGACCAAGAAAAGTTGCCACGGTAATCACCAGCATTATCCATCAAGATTGTCTCTGGCTACAAAAATGCTGGTCCAGAGACCGGGGAGATGGAGGCATCTTACTTTGAAGCCACCCAGTTCATCCCCGACCTCACTTATGCTTTGGATCACCCAGCAATTCTCTGAAAGCCGTTCTGCTCCCCCATGTAAATCATCCCACTGGGAGAGAATGCACTCAGCAACAAACAGAGAAATCCAGTCTGTTCCAAAGCCCCACTTCCCCTTATAAATTAATGAATTGGCATCTGATTTGAAATATCAGTCTCATGAGTCTGGTTAATGTGCATCTGTTCTGAGGAGACGCTGCTGCTTTTAGGACGAACAACTGTGGTTTCTGAGTTAATGTCTGGACCCAGAATGGTGATACATTCACCAAGGTAACAAATGCTACCCTAGAGACATCCAAATTATCTGCAATTTTGCTGTTGTTGTTGTTGTTCTAATTCATTAAAAAATATACATGTACATGTATACACACACACACAAGTTGGGGGGAATGTGGAGGTCAGAAGACAAATTGTGGGGGTCAGTACTCTCCTTCCACCATGTGGGGTCCAGGGAGTAAACTTGGGTTTGGAAGTAGGTGCATTTTCCCACTGAGCCATCTCACCAGCCCTGATGTTTTCTTTTTACTTCTTTGAGACACAGTCTTATCTAGCACAGGTTGCCCTTTGAACTCACTACATAATGAAGACTGCCTTGAACTCCTGATCCTCTTGCCTCTACCTCCCATGTGCTAGCATGGTTTGCATCTTTAAAAATGTTACTTATTCACCTAGGTGGGATTTTTTTTTAAAGATTTCATTTATTTATTATGTATACAACATTCTGCTTCCATGTATATCTGCAAACCAGAAGAGGGCACCAGATCTCATTACAGATGGTTGTGAGCCACCATGTGGTTGCTGGGAAGAGAACTCAGGCCCTCTGGAAGAGCAGTCGGTGCTCTTAACCTCTGAGCCATCTCTCCCGCCCCTAGGTGGGGTTTTTGTTTGTTTTGTTTTTGAAACTGGGTCTTGTTTAATTCAAGCTGGCCTTGAACTCATGTCAATCCTCTGTCTCAGTCTCCCAAGTACTAGAATTATCTATCATTTACTTATTTATTTTTGTTTTGCTTTGAGACAGGGTCTCACTCTGTAGCCCAGGCTAGCTTTGAACTCATGGCAATCCTAAGGAAAGTGTGTGTGTGTGTGTGTGTGTGTGTGTGTGTGTGTGTAGTGACTTATGCATTTAGTTGAAGTATAACCATATAGTCAAAATAGCATGGATGTTGACTATTTGTTTACTTAAAAACTGAGGGCTGGTTATGTAACTCAGAGTGTAAAAGCACTGACCTTCAAGCCTAAGGACCTGAGTACGATATTTAATTTAATTTAGTTATTGCCTGTATAGTTAGGGGTATGTGTGTGAGTGCTGGCATGCTTGCCCCTGCTCTGTGTATGCAGGTCAAAGGACAACTTTTGGAAATCAGTTTACTTATTCCACTGCGGACTCCTGGGTATCAAATTCAGGTGGTCAGGTTTGCATGGAGTGTTGTTAACTACTGAGCTATCTTGCCCACTTGGATCATTGGTCTGTGGGTGTGTGTGGTGGGGGGGGTGTTACCAGCCCAACTTTTACCATTCCTTTTTAAACATTTCTTCAGCATTGAATTGTTTCATTTTTCTTTTGTTTCTAAGTACCTATTAGGTATTGAAACACCAACCTCCCATTCACACCAGCTACAAAGATTGCTTCATTTGGTCCAACATACCAGGTTATCAATCTGTCAGTTACATTTCTCTTTTCTTGGAATCACTGTCTGGGAACCATTTGTCTTCCTATTGGGATCTGAACTTAGTGGTTTCTCAGCCAGCTTTACCACTCTCAGGCTAGAACTTCCCTTCTCTCGGATCCTGGAAATCCCCGCTGCTTCTCTCCTGTGTTGATGGCCTGTCATCTAGGGCTCATTTCTTCCTCTTTCTTGATTTACTTCC